GATTGGGGTTCGTGGATCATAGTCTTCAGAGTCTGTGCTTGAGCCAGATAACAAACTCGAGAAGTGATCCCTCCATAACCTCAGCACGACCTCTGTTTCTGAGACAAGATTTCCATCATTGTCCCTGCACGCCACTGTACCAGTCTTAAATCCTTGGGTCAGACGCTTGACCCTCTGGTAGAAGTTACGTGCTTCATTTCTGCATCTGCTGCTCTCTGTGCTCTCACACTCTCGCCTTTCCTGCTCTTTCTTCTTGCGTCTGAAAAGGCGTTTTTCGTCTCTTCTTCTCGACCTGTAGACATCCACATTCGCTCGTGTCGCCCCAGCTTGTAGTGTTCTTCCGTAGGCGGCATCCTTTGCAGCTGTTGCGTCATGACACTCCTGATCGTACCATGGATTCCTTGATAGAGGACGCTGGAATCCAAGCACTTCTTCTGCCGAAGCTCGCAGGGAGTGAGATATGAGCGCCCACATATCGCTTATGTCTTCAGGTATTGAAGGTGCTCGGCTTAATAGCCCCGAGACGTGAGTGGAGAATGCATTCTTCGCCTGTTGTGATTGCAGCTTTCCGATGTCCAGCCTTCTTAACGCACTTCGACGTGCAATCTTCGCCACACATAGCCGTGTGCGAATCTTAGCTGCAACAAGATAATGGTCGGAGTCGATGTTGGGACCCCGACAGGATCGCACGTCGAGTATATTAGATGCGTGCCTTGCATCGATCACAACATGATCGATCTGATTTCTGGTCAGTCGATCGGGAGAGAGCCAAGATGCTTTATGGATGTCCAAATGACGGAATCCAGTACTACGAACTACCATATTATGCGCAGCTGCAAAGCCTATTAATCTGAGACCATTGCTCGAGGTGGTCTCATGTAGGCTTAATCGCCCGACGGTGGCACCAAAGATGTCTTCTCGTCCTACCTTGGCATTAAAATCCCCGAGGAGAATTTTAATGTCATGGGAAGGACAGCGGCCATAAGCTCGGTCGAGCTCCGCATAGAAAGCGTCCTTGGTGGCATCATCCTTTTCCTCCGTTGGGGCATGTGCGCATATCAGGCTGATGTTAAAGAATTTGGCAGTAATTCGGATCGTTGCAATTCTCTCGTTTGTTGGCCGAAAGTGAGAGACTCGGCGCCGCAGCCTGGCACCTACAACGAAACCACAACCAAATTCATGCCGTTCTGGATGGCAGCTGTAGTAAATGTCACAGTTCTTCTTCTTTATGCAGCCTTGTCCTATCCATCGCATTTCCTGGATAGCAGTGATGTCAGCCCTACATTTGTTGAGGGTATCTGCTAGTTGTTGAGCAGCACCAGGTCTGTACAATGTTCGTACGTTCCAGGTGCATACTCTCAAATCATTGTCCTTTTTACGCTTGCTATGGTCGTCAACGTTAGATCGGATCCTTTCCGAGGCTTCTCTTGCTTCCTTCACTGAAATTGTGTTTTACATGGGTGGATTTCAAGTCCTACGCCACAACTTAGTTTATAGAGTTAGGACTCTCGTCGCGCGCTTTAGTTTGCCACTCAACGGCTGTCGAGCGACAATCCAGGGAGAACCACGTGGAGGTAGTGCGTCGGCTTGAAGAAAGCAGTGTCAGGAATCATGCTGGCATTCACCAAGTTGAATGCAATCAGACACTTTGACCTGTATGCTTTCCCCCATTCTCCCCAATGGGGGGATATGGGATAATGGGATATAATATTATACTAATAAAAAATTTTTGGTTTTTTGATTTTGGTTGACCTGCTGGACTTCTATCGTGGTCACCGCAAGCCGCTATAAAAAAAAGGGTTCCGAGAGAATTGCCATAACTTTGTAAATTGTTTATATTTTTTCAAGAACAAACGCTTATTGTTTCGATAAAAACATGTACTATCAATAAAAAATAACTTCAGTGTCATAAAATAATTGCTACACACCTGAAATAAAAATCCAAAGTTCCCTCAATTTTTTCGCTCAAAAAGGTATATAACCCCTTAATCAGGCACGTGTAATCAATCTCATATTAAGTTTGTATTATAATAGTATTGTATTATGTATTAGTTTGTTAATTGTTATTTTGTAGCCATTTAAGGATTTATCCGTTGGCGGAAATAAAAAAACAAATATTTATTTTATATTTACAACTTAATGCACGTTTTAATGCAAATAACACTAAAATTGTAAATAAGTTCTTCGCTAACTTCTTTAATAAGAGCTACCAAATCAGGTTGGCTGAAAAATCGTCTAGCAGTATTAAAATTGTTAGTATTGCCACTACCAGCCATGTCCACTAATACGCCAATTTCCTTCCTAAGCTCGGCCTGTATTTTGGTTTTTCTAGCATCTACCTCCGGCTTAGGCTTATCTACACCACAAACTTGGCATTTTTTAATAGTAAGTCTGTACGATATATGTAAAATACATTCAAAAGCCGTATTTGAATAGATCTAAGTCAACCGGGTAACGCTTTACCATATCCAAATTGTTCATTTATTTTGGTACGGCTTTACAAATACCACATGTCTGTGTGGAAGCTTCTGAAATATGAAATTCATGGAGTATGGTAAATGAGCTGGTAATCGTTGGCTTGATTTGGACCATATTTGGTTTTTTACGTTGTCGGTTTCCAAACATATTAATTCACTTGATTCTTTCTGACATATCGGTTTTATAGGCCGAACATATCGAGTTCATGAGGGTCGCGATATTTTCCAAAAAATTGTTGAACCAAGCTGAACTTGTAAGGGTACGAGACAAACAGTAAATAAAAGCTGGTCGACCATACTTGTCTCCTCATCATAAACATGACTTTCAAAAACCTCCGAACGCGCATTTAAAATGAGGCTTACAGTATGGACTACTAAATTTTGTAAAAGTATTTCAGCAGAATACTCAGTTACTTTTAATCCATCTGGGTAGCACATAATCTTTGCTCTTTCCAGCTCATAGTTGGTGTATATTTCCAGATAGTTGGTGTATATTTCTGCGTTCTTCTCCTTGGCTCTTATCCGCGTAATTTGGTATGTATGTTTTGTTTGTCCAACATCTACATAAAGGGAAAGCGCTTCAAACGACCGTTTTATTTTTTGCCCAGCAGTCACGTCTGTATTCATTGTAGAAACAATTTTTGATAGCGGTTCGCATTCTAGATTTATATAAGCTGGAGCTAGTAGCCACTATTAGCTGTTCACAGTTGTTCCCTGAAGAAGAGTCGACCCTTGTTTGATCTGCACCTTTGGACACAAATCAGAAAATAAAAATTGTATCAAGTTTTTGAGGTTATGTCGTAACCCTGACATTCTGGAGTTTTTTAGACCTCGGATTCGGATTCAGCGACCCTGAAAACATATAATAAACATGGTCTGACCCACGGACTCGAATATAATTTTGTATGAGGTTTTTTGAGGTTATGTCAGAACCCTGACGTGCTGGGGTTTTTTGAACCTCGGATTCGGAATCAGCGACCCCGAAAACATATAGTCTGACCTCCAGACCCGAAAAAATAAAAATCACAAATAATCATTATTTTTGAGTTTTATTTTTTTTGCTCAAAAATAAGTATTAGTCTTGATTAAAAAAATTAAAAATCGATAAGTAATCATTACAAAGTAATTTTTAAAATATAATTTTTATAAACTTTGTATGCAAAATAAGAAAAATTTTAAATTTATTTCAAATATTTATTTAGGGCCAATACCAACATAACTCCCCGTGGAGCTATGTCGTTTCAATCGTCGTCATAAACAGAGATGTCGTTTTAAATTTAAGAAGTATATCAATTTATTCTAATACATTTAACAAGACAGGAAAGCTAACTTCGGGCGGAGCCGAAGTTGATATACCCTTGCAGTTAAAACCGGATATATGTCGCGAACATTAGATATAGTTGGCCGATCCTTATGAAATTCGGCATGTTAAATTATTTTGGCAAAAATAGCTCTCATGTAATATTTGAACTCTCTAACTCTAACACCAAAGTTATACCATTTCCGATCAATCAGAAATATGGCAGCTATAGGATATTGTCGGCCGATCCCGGTCGTTCCGACTTATATACTGCGTGCAAAGGAAAGAAGGGTGTGTGCAAAGTTTCAAGACGATAGCCTACAAACTGAGAGACTAGTTCGCATAGAAACAGACAGACAGACGGACATGCTTATATCAACTCAGGAGGTGATTCTGATCAAGAATATATATACTTTATAGGGTCGGAGATGTCTCCTTCACTGCGTTGCACACTTTGGACCAAAATTATAATACCCTCTGCAAGGGTATAAAAAAAGTCCCAAGCTTCTATCTCCAGAAATACCAAAGTTGGTATTTTTACCAAATACCATTTTAATCAATCAGTTATATGGCAGCTATAGGATACAGTCGGCCAATGCCGGCCATTCCGCTTTATATACTGGCAAAGAAAAAACGGGTGTGTGCAAAGTCGATAGCTTTAAAACTGAGAGACTAGAAGAAATAGACTGACAGACGGACAGACGAACATATCAACTCAGGATGTAACCCCTTAAATTTTTCATAAAAGAATGAAAAGGAATTTTCATAAATGCTGCCAACCTTAATTCTTCTATTTGAATATGCTATGTGTGCCAGATCCACTAAGGGACCAACTACCACTTTTTGTGGAAAAAGTTTTTTTTTTAAGTCGTTGAAATAAGCATCTAATGACTTCATTTTCTACCATCAAGCTTCAATGGTTAAAATCAGAAAAAATTTGCCTCTGTTATTGCCCATAAAAATTCTTTATTGATTAAATAACATATTATGTTTTTATCCAATTTGGACAAAATTTTTGGGAAATCTAGAGAATATAAAATTAGAATAAAATTAGCCTTAAAATTTTAATATATGGGAACGGAAAGGGACGCGGTAAAATTCCAATATTTAAGTCATCTGCCTGTAACGTAGACGCTAGAGCTCCAAAAAACAGTATAAGTTTCTTGAAAAATTCCATTCATTCCCAAAACTGAAAAAAAACGAATCAAAATACATGTACATACACTTGGAATTTCAGGGATGTTTCCACTGCTCTGTTGAGTATGAGAATGTTCCACCACAACTTTATCATCTTGGCCATCGGAAGAAGGTCCAGTTGCGGCTTGCATCATAGCTGCTGAAGCAAGTGCCTCCAAATGTGATCCATCTACTAAAAAAGGAAACAAAATTAATTTGTGTTCAGTGATATCAACTACTTAAAGACCAACCGCTTTGGCATTCACTTGATTTCATGGGCAATGATACAGCAGCAAAATGATTTTCTTGTCCACATTTAGATTCATTTTTCAGTTTTATGTTATTTTCAAGATCTTGGTTTGAATGGAAAGAATCTTTGGCAGCTCCTTGGACTACAACTTCAACTGTCTTGATATGGGTAAGTATAGTAGCAGCTTCCGCATCTGATGAAGTCATTGGTTGAATGCAATCGTCGGCTAATATTGATGTCTTGACCTACAATAGAGGTATAACAATTTTTTTTTGTATTTCTGAATAATATTTATGCAATTATCACAATAAATGATATGACCTAATGCATATGACTAAATCGATTTATTGCATTAGTATTAGTAACGAACAGCAAATAGAAGTCTGAGAGCATGTACATTTTTATAGTCAAAACAAGAAAGGAAAGCTAACATCAGGCGGAGCCGATTTTAACATACCCTTTCAGTTAATACTGGATATATATCGCAAACATCGGATATAGTTTGCCGATCCTTCTAAGAATATCATAATATAACCATTTTATTATAGTACGAAATCAAAAATTAATTCCCAAGCTTCTATCTTCAACACCAAAGTTGGTATTTCTACCAACAACCATTTCCCATCGTTCGGTTACATGGTAGCTATAATATATACCCGGCCGATCCCGGTCGTTCCTACTTATATATTACTTACTATACTTACTAAACTACTTATTATATATATGCTCATATCAACTCAGGAGGTAATCCTGTTCAAGAATATATATACTTTTTAGTGTCGGAGATGTCTCCTTCACTGCGTTGCACACTTTTGGATTATAATACCATACAAGGGTAACAATTTTTTTTTTTTAGCGATTATAAAAAGGGTCTATATTTTTTACAGCAGCATATTATTATACTATGCTAATTGTTTCATAACTTTTACTTAAAAAATGTGCTGCGAAAAAGAAATTCTCGCTTCAAGTCGCTTCAAGTTGGCCGAAACAAAAACAAGAATGCATTTATTGCAGTGAAAAGTTTTCGGCAATCCAACAATAAAATGAATTTCGATTAGCACGATTGAGAATAGGGAAAACACGAAACATTTTTTATACCCTTGCAGAGGGTATTATAATTTTGTCCAAAAGTGTGCAACGCAGTGAAGGAGACATCTCCGATCCTATAAAGTATATATATTCTTGATCAGGATCACCTCCTGAGTTGATATGAGCATGTCCGTCTGTCCGTCTGTCCGTCTGTCTGTCCGTCTGTCCGTTTCTACGCGAACTAGTCTCTCAGTTTTGAAGCTATCGTCTTGAAACTTTGCACACACCCTTCTTTCCTTTGCACGCAGTATATAAGTCGGAACGGCCCGGATCGGCCGACTATATCCTATAGCTGCCATATAACTGATTGATCGGAAATGGTATAACTTTGGTGTTTTTAGAGTTAGAGAGTTCAAATTTGACACGAAAACTGTTTTTGGCAAACCATTACGACATGCCAAATTTCATAAGGATCGGCCGACTATATCCTATAGCTGCCATATAACTGAACGATCGGAAATGATCCAACTTTCGTGTTTTTGAAGATAGAAAGCTGAAACTTAATACAGATTCTATTTTTGGCCAGTTGATCCAACCTACCAAATTTCATTAGGATCGGCCGACTATATCCTATAGCTGCCATATAACTGAACGATCGGAAATGGTACTTGGTAGAAATATCAACTTTCGTATTTTTGAAGATAGAAGTTTAGCCTTTACTTTTTTTTTGTTTGTTTGCTATGACATCTCTGAAACATATTTAGTATACATCAAGTCATTGAACAGACAACATTATATTTTTTCATCATGTTAAAAATGTCGAGTTTTGTACCAGAAAGTGATGATTTGCGGAAAGCATTAATTTTTTGTTTTCATTTGAAGAAAAGAAAATCGGTTTTGCATTGGGTCGTTACGGGCGACGAAAAATGGATTTATTTCAAGAATTCTAAACAGAAAAAATCATGGGTTAATCCGGGACAACCATCAACGTCGACTGCAAAACCAGATCGGTTCGGCAAGAAGACAATGCTGTGTGTTTGGTGAAACCAAAAAGGTGTGGTGTACCACGAGCTCCTAAAAGCTGGTGAAACCGTTAATACTGATCGCTACCGACAACTAATGATCAATTTGAACCATGCATTGATCAAGAAATGACCAGAATTGGCCAGAAGACACGGCAAGTTAGTTTTGCTCCATGACAATCCACCTGCCCACAAAGCAAAACTGGTTCAGGATTCAATCAAAACACTTGGCTGGAAGCTGGTACCCGACCCGCCGTATTCACCAGACTTGGCTCCTTCCGACTACCCTTTGTTTTCAACGATGGGACACGCATTGACTGAGCAGCAGTCCTGAGCAGGACGAGGAGGTCGAAAATGTGGTGTCTGGTTGGTTTGCTTTAAAAGATGAACAATTTTATTGGCGTGGTATCCACAAATTGCCAGAAAGGTGGTCAAAATGTATAGAAAACAAGAAAGGAAAGCTAACTTCGGGCGGAGCCGAAGTTGATGTACCCTTGCAGTTAAAACCGGATATATATCGCTAACATATAGTTGGCCGATCCTTATAAGAATATGATAACATAACCCAATTAATTATAATACAAAATCTAAAAAAAGGCCCAAACTTCTATCTTCAAAAACACGAAAGTTGGGTTATTTCCGATCGTTAAGTTATATGGCAGCTATAGGATATAGTCGGCCGATCCTTACAAAACTTGGCATGTCGTATTATTTCACCAAAAATAGCGCTCATGTAAAATTTGAACTCTCTAACTCTAAAAACACCGAAGCTATACCATTTCCGATCAATCAGTTATATGGCAGCTATTGGATATAGTCGGCCGATCCGGGCCGTTCCGACTTATATACTGCGTGCAAAGGAAAGAAGGGTGTGTGCAAAGTTTCAAGTCGATAGCTTTAAAACTGAGAGACTAGTTCGCGTAGAAACAGACAGACGGACAGACGGACATGCTCATATCAACTCAGGAGGTGATCCTGATCAAGAATATATATACTTTATAGGGTCGGAGATGTCTCCTTCACTGCGTTGCACACTTTTGACCAAAATTTTTTACTTTCCGATTTATATTTTGTGTTTTTGTTCACAAAAAAAACGCTCATTTCATACCGGTACACCTGGTACATATACTTTATAGGGTCGGAGATGATTGCGTTGCACACTGATAAACTCATAACGAGGTTTTTTTTAGGCTGATTGGCCCAACATCCTCCCGAGAGCAGAGCCGTAGCAGAAAAAAGAAAATTGTCACCTCTGCTCTGCTCCGAGCTACGAAAAGTTCAAAGCTATAGCTATAACAATAGCAGAAAAAAAAATCTGTGCTCCTCGTAGCCGTAGCCGTAGCCAAAAATCTAGAACGAGAGCAGAGCAGTGCAAAAAAATATTTTTGCTACTTCTCTTGCGTAGATTTGTTTTTGTTTCTCACCTGATTTTAATGCACCGTCACTGTGTGACCACTTTAGATTCGACCTGTGTGACAACTTATTAATTCGACTGCTATTAAATACTTTTAATAAGGTATTCTTTTGGTTACCCCGACGAGTTATTGCCCGTAGTTGTTTTGATCATTTGAAGTACTGTGCATTCAAGAAAAGGTCACGTGGAATCCAGTTACTTTTGTACTCCTAGGATGAACTTGAGAAACTAAATTCTATTGATATTATAAGTGACCTATTCTAGAAGTTCTCCTATTAGAAGGACCAAAAGTTGAAAGCGGTCTGGCCAGTGCATTAATCAAATGAACTTGATCGTTATGATGCACTAGGACAACCTTATGCAAAACGCACACATGTTTAAAATTTGAGTGTATGGGTAGCAGAGAAAAACAATGAGAGCCGAGCAATCAGCGAAAAAAACGTAGTTTTTTGTTTCCTTTTTCGTTAATTCAATAGTTAGAATGGGCACTAAAATAGTGTATTTTATTTTAAAAAAATCTTTGCTAGCAACATACTACGCTTCCCTATCTATATTTTCTATGGAGAAAACTTTTTCCAACCCAATTACTGAGACAACTTTTCTTAAAATGAAAGAAAATAAGAGAGAGCTCTTAAAAATTTTAAAGTGCTCACATTGTCAGCGCTGCCGGTAGCTGTGGCAGAATTTCCTACCCCATGCACGTGTGCTATGGAAAATGAGAGTTTGCCCCCCACTGCTCTACAGTAACCAGTCGCAGTTAGAACGACATTTTGTATTATTGCACATATGGGACAACTTTGATAACTACGATGACCGAATAGATGAGATTCTACCCAATTTGGCCTAATTCACAAAGCGCTTTAAAGGCCCCAGAAAAGCCACATAGCAAACCGGAAATTATGATGCTTACCCTCAAACAAAGTACGAATTGTCAGAATTCTGGAACGAAAACCATAATGACGTTATGCTACTGGTGGAAACGCATCTTACAAGCAAATACATCTTTCAAATAAGAGGCTACCGGAGTTCTAATCAGAGATTGCATCAAACACCATTTTCACAAAATCTTGGCAACAAACTTTTTGGCCACATCGGTTCATTTATTTATTTACATTCTGTTAGCTTAAAGTTAGAACTAAAGCTACAGGGGGGGGCGTTGCAGCCATAGCTACTAAGGCTTTCGGCTGGCTCATTTATTTTATTTTTTGTTTTTCGTAGTTACATTTTTTGTTATTTACTTAATCCTAATGTCTGTATTAGTCTATGTGGAATTCAAGTTTTTGCACAATTCTATATAATTCGAAAATTAGTTTTCTTATTTCTATTGTGTTGTTGGACGCTTAATTATTAGATAAGATTGATTGTCTTTGTTTTTTTAAGAAAATTTAGGATTCTCAGGATGTTGCTGGTTGTAGGGTTTGCAATGGCAGAATGGAGGTTACCATTTGGGAAGGGGTTTCGGGCAGGATTAAATGCTACGCATTCATTAAGTGGCAGGTGTTAGATGTCGATTGCAGCATTCTATACTGATGGGTGAGTCTTGTATGCCCTAGACGTAATCTAATGAATTTAGTTTGATCTCGTCTTGGTAGACTGGTGATTTCCTTGTTTTTGGAGTAATCATTGATGTTAGTATAATTTATGTTAATAGTTTGGTACCAGCTTGATGTGTTTTGTAATAGGTTTAGTGAATTGTTAGATAGCTTCGATTTTATGTATTTGTTTATATCGGTCTGGTTGAGATTTTTTGTCGTGACCAAAGGTGCTGTAGTTGCGTATT